CTACTAGATATGGGGATAGGGTGATATAGGGAGTATGGAATGGGGTGAAAGGATTGAGGAATATAAACTAAGGGATACTACGGGGAGGAGGGAGAAAGGGGTTTATTTCTAAAATCTACTTCTATTACCTATAAAACTTGTAAGGTAGAAAAATAAGAAAATCATTATGGGCTTAAGGCATCACCCATCAGCAGTGATACATCAGCAATGACATATCTGGGATAACAGATTTAAAAAGGGGAAAGAAGTTACTGCATAATGGCAACTGCAGAGAGAAGAGTGAGAATAAGTGAGAGAAACAGCTCTGCAGACACCAAGGTTGGTGAAGAAGGGGGAGAAGGAGGAAGAGGTGCATCAGGCACCAGGTCAGAGATTCCCCTGCAGTCTCTAGGGAAGACCATGGTGAGGCAGACTGTCCCCCTGCAGCCCATGGAGGTCCACAGGGAGCAGATATCCACTTGCAGCCTGTGGAGAACTCCACACCAGAGGTGGATGCCCAACAGAGGCTGTGACCCCACAGGAAGTAGGCTCCCGGTAGGACCTGTGGACCTGTGGAGGCAGGAGCCCGCACTGTAGCAGATCTGCTGGCAGGACTTGTGTCCCTGCAGGGCCCACACTGGAGCAGTCTGTTGCTGAAGGACTGCACCTGTGGGAAGGATTCACACTGGAGAAATTCATGGAGGACTGTCTCCTGTGGGAAGAACTTCAGGCTGGAGCAGGAGCAGAGTGTGAGGAGGAAAGAGTGGCAGAGACAACGTGTGATTAACTGACCACAGTTCCCATTCCCTGTCTCCCTGCACTGCTGGTGGGGAGAAGGTAGAGAATTTGAGAGTGGAGTTAAGCCCAGGATGGAGGGTGGGATGAGGGAAAGGTGTTTTTAAGATTTGATTTTATTTCTCTTTACTCCACTCTGATTTGCCTGGTAATAAATTAATTCCCCCAATTTCAGTCTGCTTTACCCATGACAGTAATTACTGAGTGATCTCTCCCTGTCCTTATCTCAACCCACAAGCCTTTTGCTGTATTTTCTTTCCCCTGTCCAGCTGAGGGAGAAAATGACAGAATGGCTTTGGTGGGCACCTGGCATCCAGCCAAGGTGAACCCACCACACCACACATCTGAGCTACTAGGTCAGGCTACCACACATGAAACTGTGTTAAATATACTAGTTAAAATATTTAGGCTTTACACTGAAAGTACAGGAAAACAGTATTTCAGCTACTCTGTAGTCTGGATTCGTGACCACGGTCACCCTCAATACCAAACTTCTCATCCTGTCATCAAAGACAGGATGTGGCAAGAGAGGAAATAAAGAAAAAGAATACTCCAAGATACAGGCAAAGAAACCACTAAACACAATCCACATGAGTAATACAGAATTCCTGAGTAGTAAGTAGGCAGTGGGTTCACATTTTTTTTCTCAATGACACTATTGTTTCTCAGGCTCCTTCTACTGTACTCAAGCACAGATTAACATCAAGCCAGAAAAGTATTTAGCCTTTGGCATTTTGGAAGGAATTTTGGTCAAAATAAAACATTCTACATATAAACTTGTGTGGAAATCAATATATCAATAGAAAGAATAAATAAATTACAGGTTATATCATAAAGACAGGTGATAATTCTAGAAATAACAAGAAAGATAATTCTATAAGGAAACCTGCAGCTTCCAGATGCCTGTGCATGTTCTAGGTTTCCTGAATCTCATAGCAAATTTAAGTCTTTAGGAACTCTCAGCACAAACTACTGCCCTTTCATCACCTTATCCTTTGTCTCCTTGTCCTGTATCTGGGAGAATGAGGCCAAAGTCTGGGCATGCTAAAGCAGCTCTGAAGATCTCATGATCCTGCCCTTGCACAAAATCCTTCTTCATATAAACAAGGTCTTCATCTCCTGGCTTCTCATATTTTTTATCCAGTCCCTTTCTGATTTGTGGAATTCTTTTCCTGAAAACCAATTTTCATGCTACAATACATTCACATATTATTAGAACAGAGGAGCACCTCAAAGAAGAACAATCTGTTCAGGTCTCGTGGAAAATACACAAGATGAGTGCAGCCAGGAATTCAACCTGAGTTAAAAGACAGTTTCACAGTCTTATGCGAGTTTTCTTTCCTCAACAACCATAAAGCTGCTGTACTCATACCCTATCAGGATGCTGGATTACTCAAGCTTTCCTTGTGTCACCAATTTCATGTCATCTTTTTGTGGATTTACCCATAGGCTTCCTTGTGACAGACGATGAAATTTATCTCACTTGATGTTGGATATCTATTGATTATTGATATCTACACATAACCAGTCACTCAGGGTTTCCTTTGTAAGATACTCTCTTAATGGAGAGAAATAGATGGTTTTAGGGTGCAATTCACTTGGTCTGTTTTCTGTACTCACATTGGGAAAGGATGAACTACACCACACAAGACCTAACCTCAATTTAGGTAGATGAATCCCACCAGGATTCCTCACTGATTCCTCACGGGCCTTGCAGTCCGGCTGAACTTGCCTCCTACAAGTCTGGAGCTGACTGCAATGGGAATTCCTCATTAAAGACATTCACTTCAAAAGCTCCAAATTTGATGGTACTTTGCTTCTCACTTCTCCCAGAACACGTGCTAGCTGAAGCATGTACTATACACAACTTGCATAGAAAGGTCCTAAAATCATACACTGCTTTAGTATGGCAGTATACACTGCTTTAGATGCCTGTGTCAACTCAGTTAGATCTTTCCACCTTAAATAAACATTATTTGTGGATGCATTTTTATACTTTTAAGTCAGACGCTGACTTACTGTAGTTTTATTCGTTTCTGTCAGAGAGAATGAATGAGCACTTCTATTTCCTTTGTAAGATCATTCTTCCATCCCATCCCTCATTTAACACATCTGAGAAACTACTTCGGTGATCATGAAGGAGTATCATCATTTGGTTAGTGAGACTCCATTAGACTTTCTAACTAAACAAGCATACTTTTTCCAGAGTCCATATCATGTAGGAACAGAGATAAAAGCTTAAGCTATTTATAGTTTAGATAAATACAATGCTGACTGACAGATTAAACCACTGCTGCGGTGACCACCTAAGCAAAGACAGCTTTTTCTCCAGGATTATTTCATGAGCTCCTAGTCTGGGCTAACTATAAAGGCAGTCATAGAATATATTCGCCTTCCCATTCAGACTGGCATCTTGGCAAGTTCAGATGACCTCTCTATCCTAATTTCTCTGCCTTGAACTTAAAAGAAGGTGAGGGTGACTGGTTCAAACTCAGACAGACATTGCTCTTCTAAATGTGTAAAGTGAAGTGAGGTGAATGTCACTAAATGGCTGTGGTAGGAGAGGACCTCCACAGAATACATTTGTTCCAGTTTACATAAGGTGAAACAGAATACAAACGGATTTAATATCCTAGTTTTGGCACATGTGGAGCTTTACAGATGTTGTGCAAAACCTGTTAGGAGCCCAAAGCCCAGTGAACGTGCAGGCTGTCTTTGTGGCCCATGATCTGGGACATGATCAGGAAGGCGTGAGCCTAAGACTTCATCCGCAGTGTGGAAGGGTAGGACAGAGGCTCTCATCTCAACAATTCACCTATGCAACACATTGTCCCATTCACAGGGGAGAAAATATGAAGAAGGAAATCCAGGTCTAGTTCTGTACCACATTAAAAGAAAAAATCTGAAAGATAGAACAAACACTGTATTTGAAATCATATCAGAAATTATAGTATAGTTTGGGTTGGAATCTTACAATAATCTTTCCAGAGCCTGTTCCAGAAGACACTCTTCTCTCACAATTTTTATTCAAAATCCTAATGCTACTACTTATCCCAATGGAAAATATAAAATGGAACAAAAGATACTCATCCCTCATGTCATGTGGGCTAAATCCCAAGAACATTGTTGGGCAAAGTAATGAATGCTCCCTTGCTTAAAGCAAGAGGATGTATGTACATTCCAACAAAAAGTATAATGTTTCCCCTAAGGTTCACCGAGGAATAAAGATAGCATTGATAACCATAGCAGGACTGGAGATTAAGGTTTCTCTTAACTGTACCAGATTTGTTTTGTTAACTGTACCATATATTCTATAGATCTATGTTACTATGAAATATGAGTTCTATATTCCTACAAAAGCACAAAGTAGGAACTCTGGAATATATCTCTAGGAAAGAAAAAAGAAAAATAAAAAATTAAACCAAAACTCCCAAGAAACTGGATCAGAAAACGCCTCATTACATGAGGTTTTGTCAGCTGAAAATTTTTGTTTTCTTTTTAACTGCATTTATTTTCCAGAAAGTTGAAACCCACAATTCTAGTTCTTCTACAGGACCAGAGACCAGATAGACAATAACTAAGATTTGTTATCAAAAATATACAATAAAAAGCACTAAATGTGAGTCCTGACTCATGTTTTCTAAACCCCTTGCCTCTATCATACTGCATAACTAAATGAGATTTACCAGATGTCTGTAAACAGTGAGGGAGACAAAGTCAGAAATCTTTTAGTCAAGAGACAGAAACAAATATCTTCTATAAAACAAATCCAATTTTCAACCCAAAGAGAAGGAAGTTTTACTACATGTGAGCACAATTTTTTCACTGCTGAGAGGCGGGCAAGACAGTAACAAATATCAAGTGCAGAAATTGCAATCAGGGACAAGGAGGGAATTTTTAAATCAGTTACATGTGCAGTTAAGGGGACAGGGAGGAAGAAGAGGATCATCTCATATGAGGAACACCTGAACTTGCTAAACCCCTCAGGAAGCCTACGAAAAACCACCAGGCACAGCAACTTCCTCCCACCACTATCAGAAATACCAAATATAGGTGTTTCAAAGTAAAGCTCTAAGCTTCTTTATTGATTGTCATGTTCTGTGATTGCAAGTTGTTGCAGCCTGCAGCAGAGCTAGGATGTGGGGTACACCTCTCTCTGAGCTGCTCCTTCTGCCACAGTTTTCATCCACTTAAAACAGAAGCACGTGAACCAAATCCACCAGATTTCGAATATTGCAGCTGAAGAAACATTGTAAAATGTAATTTTTTCTCTGAATCCCTGCGAGGTATCAACTTCAGTATTTGATAGACATTTTAAAAAGTATATGTAACCATATCTGTAGGGGCAGAGAAGTTTCCCAGTTGCAGAGAAGGAACTTTGTAACTAAAACATAAAGTCTTAGAAAGACGTGAAAGTAGTCTGGATTTGCGTCCTACCAGGGGGTTCATCTTGAGGAAAGAAGCCAATAGAAAAATAAATGGAAATGTTTGATGGCAAGAATAAAGCTAGAAAGTGGCAAAAAAAAAGATTATGTAAAGAATATACAACTGAATGAAAAATGTCTGAATATTGTGTGACAAGCAATAAAGCAGCAACTCTTGGGGTTATTTTCGCAGAACCTGCCAAATCACATCAGAAATGTGCATCAAGCCTGCAAAATCAAACAGAAAGAAGTTTAAAAATACCAGAATTAAGTTTATCTCTTCAATTTATCCTCTTCTTCCACATAAGACCCTAGGCCTTACTCAGCGTTGAAGCAGCATCCAAGGCTTTGTGAGCTGCAGTGCTGGGACACAGAATCACAGAATATGCTGAGTTGGAAGGGACCCACAAGGATCAAGTCCAACCCTTACCCTTGCACAGGACCATCCCCAAGAGTCACATCACATGCCTGAGAGTATCATCTAAACACTTCTTGAACTCTGTCAGGCTTGGTGCTGTGGCCACTTCCTTGGGGAGCCAACCACCAATCCAAATCCCTTACCAAACAAAACCAAGATTTCTTCTCAGTATCAATGCTATCACTTAGTATTTCGGTGTTCCACAAAATTTCTGTTTAACATCACAAAACCTCTGAGAAGGGAATTGCTGTTACAGGTAATATTATCCTTAGCTTAAAAATAGAAATTTCAGATACTACCACAGCACATACTTGTCATACATTCATGTGCCTGGGTACTCCTGCTAAAACTCAGACACTTTGAGAGTGACCAACACCCTTTCCTGGCCCTCAAAAAATCCAGTGGCAGAGGGAACCAAATCTCCAGAACAGCACTGAGTGGGTAAGGCCAGACCACTGCATAAGAGGAGTCTCAGGGCCACATCCTGGCCCCCCAGCTGAGCAGCACCAGCTGGCTGGTGTCTGCACTGTGTGGGGCTGTTCCCCCCATAGCAAACGTACCTTGTCTCAGGGTGTTGGTGAACAAGCCAAGTAGATAGTCAGAGGCCTGATATACAAGTTTGCTCCATGACTTTCTTTTATTCAGCAGTATGAAAAAGGCCAGAAAGTAAACAGTCATTCTTTCTTTTGCTTCTCTGATTACACATCTGCAGGAAATTAATACCTCCCTAACTCATTCCCAAAGAACCATTAATGTCTTTTATGAATAATTAAAAGCTTTTTGCAAAAAACATGTATTTATTTTTTTATATCAAACATGCAAAAGTACATATGAGAAGTCAAAAGCGACCATTTTAACGTTTCCTTCTATCCTTGAGTACTCAAGTGTGCAGTCTTGATGCTCGTTCGAAAGCTTAAAAAATCTTTAGGAAAAATATTAATATAAGCAGTTATACTATCTCTTATCTGTCTTATTAGTACCCCTGTTTGTACTAATAGGATATTCATCTGTAGTGAGTGCTCCTTGTATCAGACAAGTAATTCAACATCAAGGCTTGATGTGAGGCTGTGATTAGAATATGACCAGTGACACCTTTTTGTGAATAGATGAAAGACGCTGAACAGAGAAGTAAGGAGCTGCTTTACTGGTGTGTTTTGCACTGGTGACATCAACACTGAAAGTCCTTTTTCTGTATATTGTTCTGGTATCAGTATATTAAAAAGGCTACAAAAAACTTACTTGAAAACAGGAGAAAATGTCTTAAAATGAAAGTCTCAAAGAGTTTGATTTCTTCAGCTTATCAAAACAAAGTTGGGTGCTGAGTTGACAGTTTCGTGATGACCAAATGCCACGTATCATGAAGATCTCTGATTTAAGAGAGAGAAGGTTTAACAGAGGGCAGGTCCAAATAAAAGGAATATATTTGAAACAATTGCAACAAATTACCAAGGACAATTAACAAACTTTCAGCCTCTTCATGGCTTCAAATCAAAACCGGGTGCCCTCCTTAAAAATACACTTCAGAAAAATCCAAGTGATTTTTCCCAACTTATAAGGATCAGTAGGAAATACATGAATGGTAAAGACTAGGTGGCATTAATTACCACAGTTCCTGGACTCGAAGGTATTCCTTTGCCTTTATGGGAAGTAAAGTAGTTTCAGCCATCTGTTGACAGCAGAGTCGTGACGTCCGGGAATTTTGACCCGCGCTCCAGATTTTGGCAAAAATAATCTCTAATCCTTCTGTCTCTGTCGCCCTCCCAGTACTCTGGAGAGACTCCCTCGCTCCCTGCCCTACCCTTCCAGTCATCCCGCTCCTCATCGCACAGTTTCACTTTCGCTGCTCTCCTCCCTCCCGTCATCGACAGTGGGAGATGGCAAGGGGCAGAGAAGGGACCGGATATGAAGCTTGCTGCTTTGTTTTTCCATCCTTAATAAAAAAGGTAAACTTAAAAGGGCTAAATTGGAAAGCAGGCAACGGTTCGTCATGAGCGACACGCTCGGTATCGGCTCAACAAAGGATTCCCCGGCTCTCCACAAGCCCCGGGAGCAGAGGCCCTGGGCTGCTACAGCAGCAGCATCCGCTCGCCCCCTCCCGATTAGGGAAAGAAAAAAGAGAAAGGAGGCTCTTCTGCCGAAACCCGGGATCGAACCAGGGACCTTTAGATCTTCAGTCTAACGCTCTCCCAACTGAGCTATTTCGGCTGCCGTGGCCCTCCTTCTGGCATGATAGCACTAATTTGTTCTTTCCCCCGGCTGAGCTTTATACTTAGTGGTTTAAATAAAACAGATGTTATTCACCCTACAGTGCTGGATAGCACAAACGAATCGATGAAGCGTCTTTGCAAACAAAATTATGCCGTAAGCCAAATTAAAATGCAGCAGTAACACAAAACCACCCGTATACATCTATGCACCACACATAACCTACACGTGTTTACTATCAGAATAACGGTGTTTTGGCTTTGGCTCCCTGGATCATTTGGGAGAGTAACAGAAACTACAACATTCTATGGGATTTAGGAGCGTTAAATTAGCAGTATTTTAGCTTCAGTTTTCAGGGACTTTATTTTGAAGCCTGACAAATTCTGTGCAGAGATGATGTATCACAAAGAGACTGGAATACAAGGGGTACCTGCACCCCCATTTTTCCATGGTCTTGCTGAGAGTTGCAGGTTCCACAGGAGAAACTCCATGTGTCTGCATAAATCACAAATCCTAAGCACGGTTATAAGAAAAAAATAGTTTATGCTCACATTGTTGATTAGGCATTTATTTCAACAAGCAATTGCTATAACACTCCTGCTACAAGCTAAAGGCAATGGATATACCCAAGTGCCCACAACAGTGCACATTGCACGGGTACTGCATGCTCACCTCCCAGGTTTGTGTTTATTTGCATATCCTATGGCTCCAGAAAGAGCTACCCATGACAGCATCCTCTATTCATGCTCCCTGCACACTGTGTAGGGAGAGGCTGCTTTGCAAGATTGTTCACTGCTGCTCCCTCATGTTAGTTAAAAAAAACAAAACAAAAACAAACAAAAAAACCCCAACAAGACAAAACAAAACCACTAAAACTTTTTTTTTTACCTCTCTCTCTTCCACAATAATAGAGGAGTTCAACAAATTCCTCCTTTTTCAGGTGGGGAAAAACCAGCCTCTTCCGAAACCAGCCATATGAATATCCAGTGACATAGACCCCTCTATTTCCTTTTATTTTCAGAGTGTATTTTTCCTCAAGTTGCTCCACTTTTGGGAAGTATTTTGTGAGCAAACACTGTTCTCCAGGAGCTGATACATTTTCAAAAGTCAAAGACCTATTTTCAGAAGTAAAAAGGCTGCGGACGGGGCCAGCAGTTTCATGACTGAAAACAAAAACTCTTAACAAAAAAATTTCAATTAGGGAGAGGTTAAAAAAACCACCCACACCATTGTACTAAAGAGGTGTGCAAACAACATACTGATACAAAATCTCATCTTCTCATGATTTTCCATTGCCACTGGCACTGATTGTTTTGCTGAGAAATTATGAATGTAATCCCTTAACAAGCATGTCTCCTACTGATGCAGCTAACACAACCTTGTGATCTTTGCTGCAGATAAGCTCCAAATGTGTCATGGCATGCTTAGAAGTCAAAAACACTATTGACTTAAGAGTTTTCATACATTACCACAACAATGGGTTATTCTGATTTTTATTATTTTTAGAAACCTTTGTTTTGCCAGGTGAAATGGAAATGGAAATAAAAATTTAAGGTAAGGCAAAACAAAATGAAACAAAAGCGTAGGACAGTTCAGTCCCAGATATAGTATATTTAACAGTCATCTTTTCCCCAGAAAGAATTAGGGGAGGGGTTTTATATTAAAAGTTCCTCCTGAAAAGTAGAAAGATATTTGCATTTCATGGCTATTTAAAGAGCATAAGAACATAGTTTTAGTAAAATTAAGCATTCTGAATCAAGAAACAAAAAAAAAAAAGCCCACAACATTTTTTTTCACCCACAACCTTTCTCCTACATCAAATAAAGTACAGGGTGGACAAACTAAAGATTTTTTTCTAGTCCATCATATGACCACAGTGATGATTGGCCTCAACCACAGTGACACCCCTTCACGCCAATCAGCATACAAATGTAAGCAAGTGCCAAGGTCAGACCAGAGAAAGCCTTGGAGAAAGTAAGAGTTATCTCCATTGCACAAACTGCAGCCAATACATACACACAAGGGCCCACAGGCCACAATCTGCAGAATAAGCTCTGGATGCCCCATCCCTGTAAGTGTTCAAAGCCAGGTTGGATGGGGCTTTGAGCAAGCCCATCCGGTAGAAGGTGTCCCTGCCTCTGGCAGGGGGGCTGGAACTAGATGGTCTTTGAGGTCCCTTCCAACCCCAACCACTCTATGATTCCATGACTGTTGATGGTTGTCTCAGCTGCCCACTTCAGTGTCTTCCAAATCCTTTCACTTGCTGCTGGCGAGGGAGGTACTGAATAGCAGGTGTGCTACACCAAAATAATGGGGTAGCAATGCTGGTTTTCCCCAATGCACAAGGGATTTCAGGAGCTGCTTCCCAAAGATCTGATCCAGCTCACAACAGTAACCCCAAAAAGAGATGCAAACCCACAGCTGTACCCAAATAACTTCCCAAATCCATGATGGAACCTGGATACAAAACCCTTGCCAAAGGCTGGTCTTATCCCTTAGAAAGTTTTAGTGATTTAGTGACACACACATTTACTCCATTTATTTTCTTAATTGGTGTAGCCTTTGTTCTGTGACACAAACCTTGAGAGAATGGAGTGAAAGACTACAGTGTTCACAGTATTTTACATCACTCCCCCTTTGCCATCTGCAGAAATGCTTCCCAGTAAAAACAGTGAGAAATAAAACCTAAAAGCATTACACTTCTCCACAGTGACAGTTCACTAGCTGATCCTTTGTTCCTTTCTTCTTATACAAGCCAGAAGGTTAATGGCAAAATAAGCTGTTTTCTTTGACAGGAAAAAAGACTTTTCCCTGTGAAAGAAATGGTCCTACCAGAGCACTCACCCACTAAGAAAACCTGATCTACAGCAAAGTAGCTCAAAGAAAAAGCCTCCTAGATTTTTAAAAAATATATATTTAAAATGTGCATGCATATATTTATATATATATATATATATATATAAAAATAAAAGTAGGAATACTGAGCCAAAAATCTCAATCACTTCGAAGGATTAAATCTTCAAAACCTAAATAAACCAGAACAGCTTCCACTAAAAATTAATTGATCCTTTTGAAAAATCCACTCCTGGTAATATCACTTGATTGGATAGTGACATAAATATCAAAGCTTGCATCTTCAGCACCTAAATATTCAAAACAATTTTCAAAAGATCTATTCAATAAACCAATCACACTCTACTGCTTTCTTCTGTGCATTTCTGGTAACACCATCATAAGTTAATTGATTTTTAGTGTTCCAAAGACACTGTGCCTATCTTGAATGTTTAAAATAATTTCAAATTAAGGTTTATGTAGGTTTTATAGAATAAGATTTTAGTAATCTGTAATCTCTCCTCCTAAAAACACATCACAAACAGTATTCCATTATAAGCAGATGTGAAATATACAGACTTGTGTGCATCTAACCCGAAGCAGCTGCCACGGTAACCATTAAAACAGCTAAAACAGATCTTTGCAGCACTTCAGCTATTTTCTGGCTTTTGTAGAACACAAAACATGAACACGGATATTGTAAGGAAGGATGCATATTGTATGGAAGCCATATCTGAAGAAAAATACAAAAATTAAGAAAATATTTTAATGTTACCAGTAATGTGTTTGACAATGAAATTTAAGTGATTCATCCATAGAAGTGTATCTGGTAAACCAAGTATGCTAACAGAGCAATACATACTAACTCCTGTAACTTCTGTCCTTCCCAAATGGAGGTTCTGACTTCCAAACCAAGTATCAGAAAATCAAAAAATATAATTGCCACACAATTCGAGTGTAGCATTATTATCCCAGTTTGTCACAGAAAACTCACCTTTAATAATACACTCCTAGACTTTAGAACACATATTTGGCACCCTGGTACACCTAGAAACAGCGGTTTTTTTTAGGATGACTCGTGCCAACCAGTAGTGGCATTTTATCAAAAGCACCATGCACCGCACAAGAGGTGTGATGACGTTGGGAGCACTTGTGTTTTAAGAGTTACTTTCCAATTTCTGAGACAATTTTGAAGTCACTACAACTTCTGAGAACACCACAGCATCCCAGTCCTATGCTTCTTGCAGCTCTACCCAGGGGCCACAGAAGGATCTGGGACTGTGCCAAGTACAGAAGCTCAAGTAATAAAACCAAGAAGAGTGGTCTCTTTTGTATCTGCCACACCACCTCAAAGAAAAAAAAGTAATTTTTTTAGTACCAAAAAAGGTAATTTTTTCAGGATAGAGGAAGAGCTAAGAAATATTTTTTTAAAAAACCCACCATCCACATTTTCAGTAAGCTTTTCTTAATTAAGAGAAACCAGTTACACCATGACTTTTATTACTGAATCAACTTATAAAAAGATTCACTGACATATTTCTAGAATTGAAGTTTTTTTCCAAATTTTACATTAAATTTCAAATATTGTTTTATCTTTAAAATGTTACAGAGAAAAAAAAATTGTGAATCACTGCATTGAATAAGGTCTGCCAACCCACAATTCACAGAAAAAGAAGTATTTAAAAACATTTTCTCCATAAATAGCCTTCATATCACAGGATATAATATCACTGGAATGTTAACTGTGTTCCAGTATTT